TGCCTAAGCGGCTTTTGCCTTCAAAGTGGGGACCAGGGTGTTGCTTTAAACGTCCCTGGACCCTAGATCTAGGGAGAGCTGATGGAAGCTGTGATCCTCTCCCCAGGCACAGAACTGATGTCAAAAACAGATTTGGCTCACTGCGTCGGGGTCTCCAGCAGGTGTGGAGCCCATATTAACAACCCTAGGGCCACCAGTCAAGCTCTCCGAATGCTGGGGCATCGGACCATGCCTGGCCAAGCTCTAGCACTAACAGAACCATTTCCAGATAGTCTCCTGCTCTGTTCTTCTGCCGGGGAAGTGAGTGGGAGCCTGAGGAGAGGGACTCGGTCTCCTTTCTCTATGCACCTAGCACCCAGCCTGGTGCCTGCCACCGAAAAAGGATAAATGGCTGCCCAGTGACATTCTGAGATATGTTCACTGAATCCCCAGCCCAAAGGGAGGCCTCTCAACGACTGAGCATCCACATAGCAGACAGACAACTGAGAGGGAGTGCAGGGATAGCTGATGGTTCCCAGGCAAGGGGAGGCAGGTAGACAGGGAGGATCTGGAAGGCTTCCTGGAGGAGATGTTTGCATTTGGCTGTGGAGGCAAGAGACAGGAACACGTGTAGCACGGCACAGAATACTGCTTCTTGCAAAAAATCCAGACACGGGACATGGTGAGAAGCTAAGTTCCAGGAGTAAATGAGAGCCTATTGCCCAGCCAGCCCTGTACCTCTGGGCCTTGGTTTGCTTCTCTGGACTTAAGATCCCTAGAAAGAAAGAGCTCTGAGGAGAGAAACCCACCATTGGACTAACCAATCCTGCTGCATTGGTTTCTAGAAAGTGCTTCTAGGTGGCAGGAGAGATGGAAATATGGAGAAGGACCAAAGGGCAGACTGCTGCAAATCTCCAGATGTGGATGATCTAGGTTCAAATCCCAGCTCTGCCACTCTCCAGCTGTGGAATCTGGGCGTGTTATTCAGCTTCTCGGCCTGTTTCCTTGTCTCCATGGTGGCTGGCACTAATGATAGCCGTGACCTTCTAGGCTTGCAGTGAGGATAATGTGAAGTAACTCAGGGGACAATGACAGTCCAGATCACACTGAATGACACAAACCAAGTGCCCAGTGTGTAGGCACCCAGCAGCAATGACTTTTTTGTTCTTGACATTACGGAAGAGGTAGTCATGCTGCCCCGAAAGGATGGCATAGGATTCTCTGGATTCATAGCTAGTATTGTGGCACCCCCACATGTGTGTTCCTGAAAACAATTAGCCCATTCTGCAGACACGGAAAGGCCACCACTACCGCTTAGATGGGTGTAATATCACACCCAGGGCACCCCCTGGTGGACCAGGCATAAGCATGACTAGGCTCCCTAACACTTTTCTTCCTGCTGTATCAGGTTCAGCATCTGTCCCCCTGTATTGGAACTTGTGATTTTAAAAAAAGTGCTTAGCCCCCTAGCCCCAGCCTCTAATTCAGAAGTCACATGGTCTGGGCTGCGCCCGCTCCAGATGGAGACTCACACTGGCCATTCAGACACCCCTGCCGTTTATCTGCTGTGGAGACCAGAGACCAGTGCAGGAAGCTGCTCCAGCCCGGCATACAGCGGTCTCCGCTCACCCAGCTATATTTATGCAGAAAGCTCTCTGGGTGACAGATGGGGTCTGGGGCCTCCAGCAGTGTGATCTGCCTGCAGCACCACTTCCTGCACCAAAGGCGTGGACTCAGCTCCTGTGGCCAGCAGTTCTGGGTTGTCTACCCAGAGGCCTGACTTTAGAGAACACGCCACGAGACCAGCGCACCCTCCGCACTCGGTCCCTTTCCACGTCTGCTGCTGGGAAACGCCTTCCCTGTTCACCTGCTGGTCCTTCTCTTCCCACACTCTTCCAGCCTGGGATGGTAGCGTTTCAATCCTGTATGGCTTTGTCTTCAAGGGCTACTTGGAGAATTCAGTGAAACTCCTGATGCCTGCTCTGTGGCTAGGGGTGACAACAGCCCCTGGTGGCCGTTTGATTCCATAAAGCCATTGACGCAGCCAAGGAGATGCAGGTCACCTTTGCCATCACCATACTGAGCGGTTTTAAAAGCAGAACATATGGCCCTGGAGTTAGGGGAGCAGATAAGACCCCAGAGCAGAATATATGTACTCTCTGAAGACATGGAAAGTGGAGAGACCAGTGTTGGGGGACCAGGCCTGGAGCAGAAGCTTGCATTGTTTCCTGGGATGTCCCCACACCTGGTACAGTGAACAATAGTTTAAACAGTATCCACGGAGAGAAGGGGTGAGGGAGAGGCAGGTGTGCCTTGGTGTCCTTTGGACCTGGGACCTGGAGAAAGGACATGGAATACTTTATGTCACTTAGGAGACAGGTAGCTCTGATTTTCCATGCCCAGCATGGCCCTGAGCTATGGGAGGCTCTGCGGCCCTCACCCTTCCCTCCCTCGCCCCACAGGAAGGGTTCCTGCAATAGGTCCCTGTAGGACATATCACTGAGTGTCTCTTGGTGGGGAGAATAAGGAAGACAAAAAGGCCAGGCCAGCATTGGGAACTTGACACCATGCTGCTGTTGTAAAGGGGAGCCTGTGGTAATTTTAGATGACTCCCAAGCCAACCTACACCATGGGGCAAGGGGCAAAGGATGAGGAACAGTTCGTGGGAGATGGATTGTGTCTTGTGCATAGGAACTGGGATGGAAAATGCCTCCTGTGTTTTAGAACCAGGACCATCACTGGATCTGCCACAGCCTGGGAACCCAGCAGGCTGGTTCTTTCTATTCTCGTGTGCCGTGTCTCCCCATAGGACACTGGGCCCCTAAGGGGTCAGCTGGGAAATCAAGGCAGGCAGAGATGTAGTAGCATCCCAGACAAGGTGAGACAGGGGATTCTGGGATTCAGATTGCACATGGGGACTCCTCCACAGACTGGAAAGAGGTGACAAGACCTCTCTGCTCCCTGCAGGTCTTTCTAGAAGGATTGCTGCTCCTTTGTAGGACTCTTAACCCTATATGAGACTCAAAAGAGAAGGGCTCACAGATATTCCTAGACTGAGAAATTTAGCCACCTTCTCACCAGGACAAGAGGAAAAGACTAGGGACCTAGGACAGCACTCATCTCAGCCCTCCTGCTAAGGGGGCTTGAGACTTTTACGGATTTTGTCTTCTGTGAAATGCTGTTTGGATCCCCTTTCTTGCCTCCGGGAGACAGCAACTCAAAACATTTTTAGAAGTTTTCTTTAAAAGTCATCTCTTGGAGCTGGGGATATGACTCAGTTGGTAGAGTGTTCGCCTGGCTTGCACAAGGCCTGAGTTCTATCCCCAGCACAACATAAGCCAGGCATGGTGGTGCACACCTATAATCCTGCACACAGTAGATAGACACAGGAGAACCAGAAGTTCACAGTCATCCTTGGCAACATAGGGAGTTCAAGGCCAGCCGGGGCTACATGAGAGAGTGTCTCAATGAAACAGTGTCTCAATGAAAAAGAAATAGAATCTCATTGCATGGTTAACTAGTAGCTATTGGTGGACAGTCATCTCACATAGGCTTCTACCATAGAAGAGATTTCCTGTCTGCACACAGACATGTCAGCCCCAGGCATGGTTGACTCCAGTGCTGTCCGGATGACCATCCCTCTCTCCTGCTCTGCTTAGCTTCTGCTCTCCTGGTGTTGGCTCTGTTTCAGAGGTGAGGAAGACTCAGGCCACGGCCTTCCCATTACCAGTCTCCCCAGAAGCAGAAGGCATCACTTTCCTCATAACCACGCTCCTTAATATCTCAGGAAAGATTCTCATTGGGTCACCTGTGGTCACATGATCACCCCCAAACCAATCAGATCTGTCTCTCCAAGGCCAATAGAGGTTAAAGAGGGACTAGAACCAGAACCACAGGAGCTCCTAGGCTCACATGACCAGGGAGAGGAAAAGTAGACACCTTGCTCCTGAGGAGTGTTCAGCCTGTATAGAGAGAAGAGATGGAGGAGACAACTAAGGGACATGGAAGGGCCCAGAGCACCAGTTACACCCCAACTCCAGTCAGCAGCCCAACTCAACCCCTTTATGATCACGTCCAGAGAACCAGGGAAACACCGAGGCAGCCAGCATGTTCCAGCCTGTGACAGGTATCACAGCAGCGAGGAGACTGGCAGAGGGTCACGGCCAAATCTTGGTTCCTCTTCCTGTCCAACTGTGGGTCACTGAGTGAGTAATCTACCTCTCTGGACCTCAGTTTCCTCTTCTGTAACCAGGAATGAGACTGTGTGGCCTTCATGACATTGCTGTAAGAAGCAAAGAACATCTTACAGTGTGATTTGAGCCTCGCACATGGTGGCTGTGATCTCGGCATCAACTGTTGTCATTCTTCTCTGACGGTGTCCATATGGCTTAAGGGGATATGTTAGGCTTGGATTAGTGGTCAGGGACCGGCACCCAATCCTGGCAGATAAGTGGTCTTGCACAACACACAGGAGTCTATGGATTTAAAAAAAATGCCTGCTATTTGCTTTGGAATACATACATACCCTCCCTGAAACACCCCCGCCAAGGAGAAAAGTCCTTTAAAAGCAAGTTGATCCGGACCCCTGTGAATCAGTGAAGCAGCTCCCCAGAGTGGCACCCACACAGCATCTGAATCATCAATAGAATAAAGCCAGAAGCCCATAAGTGCATGCTGAGGATTGTCCCGGATACACTACTCTACAGGTCATGGGGGACAGGGGAACAGTCCAAGGAAGGGCCGCCCTGCAGTTGACCAGAAGGCTCTGGGCTGACCTCAGCCATGCTTACAGCCCAGTCACAGAGGGAGTGTTTGCAGGAGGGGACCTTGCTTTAGGCAGACCCACTGAGTGAAGGTGCTAAAGCTGAAGGCCGCTGGACAGCTGTCACCGACCATGGGCCGCTGTGTCCAGGTCAAATGCTTTCAGCATAGGCTCCCAGCAGGCTCCATGGAAAATGGAAATGTGGAATGGAAGAGTCATTTTATTTTCACTACAGAGCCATCATCATTTTACAGAGCAGATAAGCACCCACCTCTGTGTTCACAAACAGGGATGAGTGACAAGGACATTGACTTTGAGTCTTATGATTGCATATTTACTATGCACAGGTTTGAACCATGCCTCCTCTTCTGTAAAGAGACCTGAGATAGCTTCCAAACGTACCAAGGGAACAGAATAATATATGTGTTACATGACTGCACCTGGGATGCTGAGGACCAAACAGCCTTCATAGACACCCACTTCTGGTCCAAGGTCAGGGTAATTGAGCCAGAAACTACTTTAGAGTTCGTAGGCAGTCAGGGCACCAGTCCAACCAGCGGGGAAGATGCAGCAGAGGCAGAAATCCTTCCTCCAACCTCCTAAAGATCCCAAAGGGAGTCACAAGTGAGCTGTAAGCGATGCTTGCCTCATCACTCTCTGGTCTAGGAGCAGTTCTTGCAGCAGGAACTGACCACAGCTGTTAGACCTAGACCAGTTAGAGCTCACTTACCTGCAGCGTGCCAGCCTTCCTGGCTTTGTGTCCACTGCTTCCCCACCAGCCTTGGGAACCAGGAACTGTTTCCATCCCACGTAACACAGCAGGAAACCGAGGCTCAGAGCCTCTCCATTAGCCTGTACCTCCAATGCACCCAGCTTCTGAATGTGACACACAGGAATGACTGCCTTAAGAGGGAATGTGCTGGAGGTCAAAGGACCACTGATGCCACCTAGAGAGTGTCAAATTGGGAGAGGCTCCCTCTGAGCTAGACTCAAAGAACAGGGAGGCGTTGACTGCCCAGCTATAGGAAGGAAGTACGATCTCAATGGAGAACAGCAAGAATAAAGAACCTGGGGTAAGGACCATGGTGCATGTGAGACATGAGAAGTCCCTAGAGAAGCCTTCAAAGAGCAGGGGCCTCCAGTCACAGGCTGTAGATGGTTTTGTAAAGTCTGAGTTTAACTGATGTGGTGGTGAATCTCAATTGTCAGCTTGACCCAGAAGCACCTAGGAGACAGACTTTTGGGCATGCCTGTGGTGGGTTATTATGTTTATGTGTATGTGTGTGTGTGTGTCATATATATGATAGCTATATACCTTGTTTATTAAGGTATATATTAAGTATTGCTATGTATGCTATGTAGTAATGTATTAAGTATATTAATATACATAATTAATATTATGTATATTAATATTTAATATACATGATATAACCAATATTATGTATATTAATATTATATATATATATATGTATATCCTGTTTATTGAGGAAGACCTGCCTACTGTGGGTTGCACCATTCCCTGGGCTGGGATCCTGGACTGTATAAAAAGGAGAAAGTGAGCTTAGCACAGGCTTTCATTTCTCTCTGCTTCTTAAGTGGATGCAATGTGACCAGTTTTTCTTACTGTAACCTCCCTCACCTTCCATGATGCCCGCATCCACCGCATCACCCTCCATGATGGCCCTGCATCCTCCCCGTCACCCTCCATGATGCCCGCATCATTCCCATCACCCTCCATGATGCCCGCATCATTCCCATCACCCTCCATGATGGCCCACGTCCTCCCCATCGCCCTCCATGATGGCCCGCATCCTCCCCATTGCCCTCCATGATACCCCGCATCCTCCCCGTCACCCTCCATGACGGCCCGCATCCTCCCCCTCGCCCTCCATGACGGCCCACATCCTCCCCATCACCCTCCATGGTGGCCCACATCCTCCCCATCACCCTCCATGGTGGCCCACATCCTCCCCATCACCCTCCATGACGGCCTACATCCTCCCCATCACCCTCCATGGTGGCCCACATCCTCCCTATCACCCTCCATGAGGGCTCGCATCCTCCCCATCGCCCTCCATAATGTCTGGCATCCTCTTCAAACGATAAACCAAACAAACCTTTCTCCCTTGAATTGCTCTTGCCAGGGTATTTTGTTACAGCAAATGAAAGAGCAACCAATGCAGTTGGTTTGTTTGTACTGTGTGTTTAGACTGTCACCTGGGGTGAGACTACTTAGGTCTGCCCTGCCTGTGTGAGTGTGAAGAGGACCACAAACTCCCTAAGGGAGGAGTCCTCAACAAGTCTGTCTGCAGACACTGAATGAGCCAAAGAAATGGGAATTCAGGAAACTGGTTCTCATCCCAGCTCCCCTAGTACCCCAGGGTGCTACAGAAGCACCCAGAAAACAGGAGGCTGGCACCTGGCTGGGATGCTGGGTGTCCCACGCCCCCTGCATCCTCATCTGTCTTGTTTGGTGATATCTGTTGAGTGACATCTTATAAACTGCATTTCTAAGAGTTCCAGAGATTAAAAGTCAAGGTCAGGGACCACATCTGGAGAGGTGGAAGATGGCAGAAGGGATGAGAGACAGAAAAGGGGACAGGGAGAGGAGGAAAGGAGCTCAGCCCATCCTTGCTCTGAACTCGCCTCCTCACTAAGGTTACTAACCCTGACCCACTGCAACTAGCCAGAGCCATCACAGTACTGTTGCTCTATTCCCAGGGTAAAGTCAGGTGACTACACCTTTCAAAGGTCACTGCCATGTGGGATGATGGATGTCCAACATGAGACACATTGAGAATTCAAACCAGAGCTTTGCCCTGCCCTAGCCAGCTGGCTTTGTAGTGAGCCAGCACACAGGTGTTTCCTGGAAAGGGTTTTTTAGTTCTGAAAGTCCAAGGGTCTGAGCCCTAATTTTCAATTACATGGGTCTCAGTTTCCCTCTCTGTCAAGTAGGGTAAGGGACAATAAGTATTGCTTAGTGTTTGGACCAGCTCTAACGTTAGTAATACTTCAGTTCTAAGACCAGCCTGGGTACCATGGGACCAGGTGTGGCTCAGGACAGCAAAACTGCGTCTCTCCACAGGCACCTGTCACCCGAGAAGCCTGGGCAGGGCAGATGAGTTATCCACACAGGCCCGTCACCTCTAGGTGGTTACCTTACTCCACCTAGTGCAGTCCTGGCCCCTGCTGTGGTTTCAGGCAGTTATTTATAGCCCATGGAAATGAGCGCTCCAGACCTGTGGCTCCCTGGTACCCAGATGGAATTAGCCTCTGCCTCAAAAAGAGTTCCCCACAGATCCCTGTGGTCTACCCAGGTAGCCCCGACAGGTTGATGGGTGGAAGACCTGTCTCTTCTGTGAGACAGCTTTGGACATACCTCATAGGGTTAAGAGGCAAGAGCAGGCATTTCTGACTGGAGAGCCCAGGAGGATTACACTGAAGAGGCAGTACCTGAACAAGACTGTTTGAAATGTCAGCAGTTGCTGTGGGGAAGGTGCCCAGCATGGACAGAGTCACAGAGATGAGGAAGAGAGGAATATGAAATGGTTTGGCCCGGGACTGGAGCCAGGATGTAGAAGTTGCAGTCCCTCCACGTAAGCAAGCAAGTGAGGTGCTTCATGCTGTCTGAGAGGCTGACAAACCTCACTGTCTCACTGAGCCCTCGCAGTAACCCCCTACAATTAAGTGAAAGCACCTCATTTTTAGGCACAAGGAAGTTAAATCACCTGCCTGGGTCACACAGATAATGTTCAGAGATGAATGGAGATTTAAGATAGGCTGGAAACTCCAGAGCCCAGGCTGAAAGCCAGTCAGAAGAGGGGCGAGATGACTCAGCAGGTAGAAGTTTTGCTGCTAAGCCTGATGACCTGAGTTCAATCCCTGGGAACCCAATGTCAGGAGAGAGAACCAGCTCTCACATGGTGTCCTCTGACCTCCATATAAATAGTGTGGCGCATGTATATTCACACACATCCATAGGTGCACATACAAAAACAATTAAGTAAAACACACTTGAATATTTTTAATAAGAATACAAAGAGATGTGGATGTTGAAACAAAAAACTTGGGCTGAAAAGAAGTGGAGGTGATCCCAAGCTCACTGGGCATCTGGCAGAAATCCAAATGAGAGCCAGGGTTCCCCCAGGGTCTCAGCTCTTCCCTGTGTGATGTCAGGAGCAGGGAATAGCAGGTGATTTGTAAATGCCAACATAAAGACAGGAGTGAAGTCCCTCTCTGCTTCTCTACAGAGCTATTTGGAACATTCTAGAAAACGATTGTCATAGAGAACATAAAACAACAAGGATAAGCCTTGCAAAATGGCATTTTAAAGGAGGGGAGAGGCTAGGGGCCAGAATTGGTAACATGCTTGGCACACAGACACGAGGACCTGCATTTGGATCCCTGGCACACACATACAAACCTGGCTATGAGCAGAACACTGTAACTGCAGCACCAGAGAGGTGGAGACAGGAGAATTCCTGGGACTTGCTGGCTAACTGTCCAGCTGACTTGGTGAAAGGCCCCACCTCAGATAAAAGGTGGACAGTGGTAGAGGAAGACTCACACCAACCTCTGACTTACAGAGAGAGAGGTGTGGTTTGCCCTGTGCATCCCACCAAAGGCAAGGACTCCATGCAAACAGGTCCAAGAGGTAAGGGCTAAAAGAAGTATCTAGAACATACCTGGTATTGGGATGCCAGTACACTCTTTCTTCTCTTGGCCGTGGCATTCCAAGCACATTGCCAGCTGTGGCTGCAGGTTGTGAGACACAGAAGAAATCAGATGGCCTAAAATGACAGGGGCGGAGTGGCTGTGGGCTCCCGGCAAAGGAGCAAACTGGGAACTCAGGCCAAATACTCGAGAAGGCTTGGAACTGAGGTATGTCCTGCTCAGTGACAGATCTGAGAGAGAAAGTGTTTTCGGAGAGTTTGGAGGTCGGGGAGGGGTAGCAACAACTCCTCAATCACTGAGGATTCTGAGCAGAGCTGTTGTGGAAAGTGTGTAACACCCAGCTCTCCACAGCAGGAGACTCCTTTGCAGTGTGGGTCACTTCTCATGTTATAAATACCACCACCCCTTTACATTAGAGACAACAGTGAACAAGGAGCTGGGAAGAGTGGGCAGCGTTGGGCCCTCACCACAGACTCCCAAGGAGAGAGACCTAGGGAGGCATGCTCAAAGAAGTAGGTAGTGATGACTTTGGGGTATCGATATTTTTTAAGTATTTTTTTAATGGCTGTTTCCCCTGCCTGTATGTCTATGCACCATATATTGCAGTGCCCATGGAGGTCAGAAGAGGGTGCCAGATTCCCTGGGACTGGAATTCAGTTTTAGTCACCCTATAGGTGCTAGGAATCACACCCAGGTCCTCTGGAAGGACGGCCAGTGCTCTTAACCACTTAACCATCTCCCCAGCACCTCAGTTGCCTTTTAAAAGGTGGTTTATACCGTCATAGGTTTATACAGTCATGGGTTTATATCACAGAATTCTAATGATAGCTTAACAAGCAGAAATGAGCCACCCAGCCATAAAGAGCATCTTTGTTCAGAAGCTCGCCCTCAGGTCGGGAAGCTGGTGTATCGGGCCTGGTTCATCATGACATACTCAGAGCCCGCTGACACACCAGGGTAAAGACCCCACCAGCAAACCTCTGCTGCCCCTTATTTGAGAGCCTGTGGTGGACAGAAGACAGTCAGGGACCTGCACAGGAAAGGAGCCTGTAGGGAGAGGGCGCTGCCCATCCTCCAGGAATAACCAAGTAGTCACCGGCCTCTTACCGGGAGCACATACCTGTAGGGGCAGACACCACCGCACACCCATTTGGTGGATGAGGAAACTGAGACACAGAGAATTTGGCTTACTTGCCCAAGATACATGGTTGGGGGAAGAAAACCTAGGCCTGGATAAGTGAGAACCCATGGTCTTGATCCTCTGCCATGGGAGATGAGGGGCATCCACAGGACTCTGCCCACCCTGGAGGTGTGAGAATCTGGCTCAGCAACCTGAGGCCTTTCACTTTCTCCTAAACACACTAGTGCTCGGGGCCAGATATGAGTGGGTGGGCGGAGCTGACAGATAGGTGGTCTGCCAATGAGGCTGCGGTGTCACTTATCCTATGCCACACTTGTTGCTGGAAACCGAAAAGAGCTGTCTGTCCTTTATTCTGTGCCACACTCATTACCAGATGCCTAAAAGAGCTGTCTATGGATGCCAAGGGTGCACGTGGCTGTGTTCAGGCTGCTGTGTCTATCTCTTGGGTCTGCCAGTCACTCTATGAGTCCAATAATCCTTGTGGCTTCTGAACATCACAGAGATCCAGGAGAATCAGCTCTTCAACCTCCCATTTTAGAGAAAAGAAATGGATTCTCGAGGAGAAACTGGCCCAGGGCCAGTGGGTGATCTGGGATTTTCTTTGGTGCCTGCCCCCTGTGCTGGTCCTCTGGTTCTTCCTCACTGTCCTCCTTTCTGGGGGCACCTGGAAAGTGTACAGTGGCCAAGACACAGGCCTCTTGATGCTAGAGCCAAGAGATATCCAGTACTGTGATCTGTCGGAGGGGGAGGAAATGGCCTGGGGGAGTGTGCTGGGGCAGAAAAAGAAACATCCCTGCAAAGGTGTGCTGCTAAACACCACCCATGGCTTTGATGTTCCCAAACTTCCTCTCAGTCATGAAGGCCTGGGTGTCTGTCCTACCCCTAGAGAGGGGCAGCTACAGCATCTCTTGAGCAGAGACAGTTCTGGGTAGGGGGACTCCCACCTCTTGAAGGCAAGGGTGGTTTCATTCCCTCTAAAACCCGACACCTGGAAAGCAAGTGTGTGTGTGTGTGTGTGTGTGTGTGTGTGAGAGAGAAAGAGAGAGAGAGAGAGAGAGAGAGAGAGAGAGAGAAAGAGAAAGGCTCCCTTCTACCCATCTCCATGAATACACTCAGTCCAGCCCCACTTGAGCCATCTCCACCCCACAACCTCCTCGCTCACATCCCCCAAGGGTCCCTATCCCTGATGAGAAAAACTCTGTCCCTTTGACCCTCAAGTCTTAGGGGATATCCCCAAGTGCAGGTGGCCTCTGAGCTGGCAGAGGTGCACTACAGCTGCCCCTCGTTAGCCTTTGGCCACAGAGGGAGGCTAACTGAGATGTGGGCTTGGCTCTGGTAGGAGGCAGAAAGCTTCCTCTTAAGCGGGGAGGCGGGAACTTTAATTACCCAGGCAGAGCAAGGGAGTGAGTTTGGATGCTGCGAATCTGTTTCTCTCATGTCCCTACCCTGGGTCTGATGACTGTTTGATCCTGAACTTGGAGCTTCTCTATTGTTCCACACCTACCCAGGCTTTGTCCAAAGCGAGCTAACAAGCACCGTAGGAGTAGCCAGGCTTTGGGTCGCTAATGAAGAACAGACAGCTGTATGGAGCCTGGTAGAGAGGTCTCCCTGGGCAGAGCAGTTCAGCTTGGGGAAGGGAGAACTTTCACTCCAGCAGCTGCTTTCTCTATTATCAGCATCTAACAGAGAGGAGGCCAAGGCAATGTGCGCCAGGTCACACCCTAACAAGTGGCAGAAGTCAGGGACCCAAACCTCCTGGCTCCAACTCTGTTCAGTCAGCTCTCAGGTTGGTTCAGGCTGTCCAGTTCACACGGCTCTTCAAGGCCTCTGGGAAAACATGCAGCCTCAGTCTTGACCCTTTGACTTTGTCCTTGAACTTGCCCGACAAGGCAGCCTTCTGTTAGCATGCTTTCCGGTCATGAAAGGGTTAATAACGCGATGGATATCTGAGAAAGAATCACCTCTTGTAGATGCTGGATCAATCAGCGTGAGGTTTAAGGGCATTCGCCTGGTTCCTTTGTGGAAAGAAATAAGCTCAGGATGTAACCAAGGGAGCTGAAGCCTGTGGCATCTCTTAAGAACCAGGTGTTCAGAAACCGGTTTTTTGCCAAAGGTAACCCCTGGTATGCCTATCTCTACCAATGAAGTTTAGTCCCCCCAAAACTTTAAAACTCATCCATGTGTTTCTTGAGAATCTGTTGTGTGCTAAGCCCAGCTCCAGGCCCAGAGCTATAGATAGTAATTAGCAAAAACATCCATGTTTCTCTGCTCATGGGACGTGCATATGAGCGTGGACGACAGGACAAGGTCAAGGAACAGCGCAGTGCAAGAGCTTGCCCAGGGTCTAGAGGCTCTAGAAGCAAGAAGCCGCCTTGGGAAACAGCAGGGCAGGGTGTGTGAACCCTAAGAAGAAAAATGCAAGCCAGAGGATGGACAGGAAAGGGCAGACAAAGGCTGAGGGGTAGGGTCTAGAGGACCAGAGGAAGTAGAGGCCATGGAGGGGTAAGGAGCTGTCCTCTAAAATGTGGGACATTTCAAGGAGTGGGGTAGCTGCATACACTTGTTTAATTTTGGCCAAAAGCCTGCAATGTGGGTTCTAAGCCCTCAGTCACATGGGGGAGGAACAGCTGAGGCATACGAGGCGTGGCTTGCCCAGTGAGGATGCAGTAAGGCCACTATGTAAACAGAGCCCTGAACTGGGCTACTCACACCTCCTACCCACTGTTGTCCGCTCAACTCGATGCTCAACTCAACCCTGGCTCTAGGCTTCCAGCATCATCCTCTCTACCAGACTGTCTGTCTCGGTGCTCTGCTGTCATTTTGTCTCCACGACTGGGCCTCGGGCTGAACAGAACTTGGCGGGATGTGATTCAAGAGTTCGTTTGGAACATCGTGTCTTCCTACAATTGCAAGTAGCTACATCCTTGGTTGCTAGGCAGCCAGGTGCAACTCAGTGCAGAGGGCTGGGGATGGGGAATGATTCACCCTAGGCACCCACCCTTCTTTGCCTCTGTGCCTCAAGATACAACCCCTCCCAGCCAGGCAGGGGAACCCCAGGGCAAAATGGACACAAGCCGAAAAAGCAAACAGTTTAAATCAAACAGAACAACTTCTGCTCCCACAGGAAAACTGAGCCAAGGATCTTCTTCAAAAGTAATGGGAAGAGCTTTCATGGCCATCATGATGGCTCATTTTTTGGCCAGGCCACAAACACTGTTCCCAGCAGATTCACATATGTGATGGGTGAATCTTTATCTCACAAGAGCCCTGTGGGAATGGTGTTGCTCAAATCCCACTTTATGATGTAAAAAATAGGGTACTGTGGGGGTTACTATGCCCAGCCTGTTCACAACAGGGTCAGGCACAGGAGCCCTAAGCCCAGCATCAGAACCAGTGGACACAAGGCAGGTCTGGGGGATGGCTGAGGACCGGTGAGGAGAAATAAAGACTCCTAGAGATTCTGCTCCAAACTGGAGCTAGACTAATTGATTCACATCTTATTAGCACAAACACAAAGCCACTGCACAAGGGCTTGGGCATAGAAGGGGTGACCGGAGGAGACCCTGAGTGTCCCCCCAAACTTCAGTCCCTTTCACAGAGACACCAGTCTTGAAGAATATGTCACTCTGGAGTCCGGCGTTGCTGCCAAACCTCTGACCTTTTCTAGACGTGTGTCTAGGAAAGGCTGTGTGCTTACTAAACATCTACTATAGTTCAGAACAAAGTATGCCACACTGTCGCTGCCCTCGTGGAGCTGACACTTGGCAAGGGAGCCAAATATAAGGAAAAATATTTGTGTTGTTAATGATTTAGATGGAAGGGATGCTTGGGGGCTAGAAACATAAAAAAATGGAGTCCACCCTCAGAAGAGGCTCAGCCAAAGAGGAGGGTGTTCCCAGCAGAGGGAACAGCACATGCAAAGACCCCTGAGGCAGGAAAGAACTGTCCTAGAGTCTCAGGAAGGAGGCTGGTGTCGCAGGAGCATGATGGTGGAGATAGGGCAGTGGGGCAGTGAGGCAGTGGGGAGCATCAGGGACTAAGGCTTGGGTCTTGGTAAGTACTGTGACTTTCAGCTATATGTGACAGACACCACTAGAGTGTAGTAGATACGGATTTAACATGAACACAACGCACCTTACATTCTGAAAACGCAGACTGCAGGCGGGAGCAGAGAGACCAGTTAGTGAAGCTATCCAGGGCAGCAATGGTGGTGACCCAGCTGACTGGGGGAATCAGACAGGAAAAGGCTGGCCAGAGGTGAGGTTTTCTTTGGATAGTTTCCTAGGTATGTGCAACAGGGTTAACAGGTTGAAGGTAGCCTGGCATATCCTAGCATAATGTGGGCACACACTTTTAATCCCAGCACTCAGGAGCCAGAAGCAGGCAGATCTCTGAGAGTTGTTCAAGGCTAGCCCAGTCTACATAGTGAGACCCTGTCTTCCCCATCCCGCCCCTAAGGAAGAAACAAAAGAGGTGGGAATGGACCTAAAGGTTCACCGTAGACAAGATACGAAGGGAAAGGCGAGAAGATGGGCCATCTGCTGAGCACCCACAGTGTATCCAGCTTGCCATGTCTTGTTTGCGTCTCCATGAGCAGGCTATGAACTAGGTACCGTCCCGCCCAGACATGGAGGAGCTGCGATAACCCACAGGGACACACAGGTCACAGATGAGGTGAAGGGATCAACCCAGGATTATTTAACTCCAGGTTCATTTCATCTAAAAGTTACATAGGAAAAAAAAAACCTGCATCTTCTTTAGTGTTGATCTAAAAAAATGAAGCTTGGATGATTCAGATAAAACACATTCTCCTGGTTAAAACTCAGATATTCCAGCCACAGCAGACTACCACAGCCAGTCCCGCTGCCTCTTCCGAGAGCGAGCGCCCCCTTCGTGAGCTTGGATCAGATCCTTGCACGCCTCTGGCCACACGCTTGCATGTGTGTGCGTCCGCAGAAATGTAGCATTCTGCTCTACACAAATGGAGCCGAATATCACATATTGTTCCGATGCTTGTTTTCGCTCACCAGCTTTCCTTGGGGAAACTTCGGTGCTAGTGAACATAAACCGAGCTCATGCTTTAAGAACTGCCGTGTAGTCTGTTGTGGGCTAGATGAACCACAGTTTATTTAGCCCACTCAATTTCCAAAGACAGAAACTCATTTTCCTATAAATGC